ACACACACACACACACACACACACACACACACACACACACACACACACACACACACACACAACAGTGCATGTCATTGCATTTCAAACACAGCATAATTATCTCCTCCTACACTGTGTCTCTTCAGACTCAAAGAAAACATTTACTAGTGAGAAAACCTGAAAAGCTTGTCACATGATAATTATATTGGTTTAGACTGTATTGTGAGCACGCTCTGGGGCTGACCCACTTTTCTGTCACCAAACATACCCGTCACATGCAAATGGTCAACACTCAGAAAGTTACATTTTCATGATGCATCCTGGAGGTTATGTGTTTTCCATTTCTTCCTCTTACTGATTTGTTTTCTGCTCATTTCAGAGTGAAGCTCTGGGAACAGCTGATCCATCTAATTTCATTTATTGTGAATTTAGCTGGAATTATGGCTCCATGCACATACAGTATATCAAATGTTCCAGTCAGTCAATCAACATCTGGACCACAGATTCCATCCTGTAATTTCACATTATTTATGATTAATCTATTAATTGTATTGATAATTGATATATTATTCAAGTTGTTTTTGTGCAACGTTTGATGGTTTAAGCTGTCGACTCTTTGGACCGTTGGTGAGGAACAGATCACTTTAGGCTCTCTGGGAAACTGTAACTGATAAAGAGATCTTCTGATGTTTTGATTATAATATGTCTGGACTAATGAGAAATATAATTAAAATGTTTTTTATTGAATCTGAGTAAAGACTTTTGATTCTGCAAATACATTGTTTTATTGTGGTGTGGCTGCTGCTTTTGGCTGAAACATGCATACACACATGCACACACGTAGCAACCAGGCTAGTTCTTTGTTCGGTTTAATGGCAGGTGGCAACCAACTGGAACCAAGGTGCATTACCGCCTCTTTGCTTCCATCCTTGTCGAGCATTTAGCTGAGATAACAGACCAAGCAGGGGGGGATCCACCCCACCTTTAAACCAGGAGAGCTCAGTGTTTCTGTGCATGAGGTGGCCATGGAGCTCAAACCTGCTCCTGAAGCTCCAGATCTTACAACACACACACCCAGCAATGATTGCACACATGGTAATAACAACCACCGTGTGTGGGAGGTGAGAACGAGGTGGGAGAAGAGAAACAAACAGGAAGACACAGCATGCTGGCCACAAACACAATAAAAGCACAAAAGAGGAATAAAAAGAGGAAACAAAGAAGAGACAGAGGAGACAAAGAGTCAACGGCATCTGATTTCAGTTGAACACTGAAGCCTGTGTAACAGCAGAGACAGAACAGGTCTGAAAGATAAAGACAGAGATCAAATATTGTCTCGTCTGTCTGGAGACAATTCCATCATTATGTTGCCACGGTAATGTGACAAACCCCAAGGCCCAGACTTCAAATGTATATTTTAGCATATTTTACAGACCACACTTGATGGAGTGTGCACACACACACACACACACACACACACACAAGTATGGAGACGTGCAAATCCCCACACAAGCACACAACGTCACACAGAATCTATTTTCAAGTTCAAATGCACAATCTCACACACACACACTCGACCACACCCATTATAATTTGGGTCTTTGAAGTTGTGACCTCGGGAGATTCCCTGGTTTACATCTTCACTGTTCTTTTGAGCCTTGTGATGAAGTCTGTGGTGACGTGACGCTATACAAAACTGAACAACCAACAATGACGAATCATACTCAGTCTAAAATCTACTTTATTCTCATTAAATTATGATTCTAGTTATATTCAGATTCTTTCTTGTAATGATATAACTTTATTCTCAAATCTAAGAGAACATGACTCTCAACATCCATTTTTGTATCTGTCTTACAGTCTCCAAAAAGAAATTCCCTTGAGATTCTTTTGTCAGGTGGCAATCTGTGTGTGTGTGTGTGTGTGTGTGTGTGTGTGTGTGTGTGTGTGTGGTAGAGACACAGATGGTTATTTTGAAGAGGAGGATGTGGCCAAACATAAAATAAAGGATAGACGAGGAGAGAGGAGTGAGAAAAAAAATGAAGAGGGGGATGGTGGCTTTCTTCTGTTCGAACGACGGACGTACCAAGCCTGAAGAGATATAGGAAGAGAGAAGGAGAGAAAGACAGAAAGAGAGTGACAGGAGGAAGTAAAGAAAAACAGAGACAGACAGAGGACCAAATAAACAAAGCAAAGAGTGACGCAGGGAAAGAAAGAGAGCGGATGAGGAGACAGAGTGTGTGTCCAGATAACAGACTGTATCTTAGCAGGGGACACACTTACGCACACAAACACACCCACACCCACAAACAGTGTGCAGTGCCTTGCTCGAGGAAACTCTACAGAGGTGAAGAAAGAGTTATGACAAAATCCCTTCTCAATTTACCCATAATCCTTATGGTAAATGTTTGAGGTCTCCGATTACTTCCTCACTCCAAATTAGTCGTTGTTAGAGAAGTTTTGTGCGTCTCTGTGTCGTCACCCAGCGTTTAAATAATATCTGTGTCACCTCAGTGTCTGAAAGACACACACACACACACACACACACACACACACACACACACACACCCACACACACCCACACACCCACACGATATGATTAACTTGCTGTGTGTGTGTGTGTGTGTGTGAACACCACATTGATTATGCAGGTTATTGTAAGCATGGCATCCCAGAATCCCTCCCGCCCACACACTTAAACACACACCCAGGGACAACCTGCTCCATACAACCATCTGTCCAGCCCTGCCTTGGCACACTGCCTTTGGGGGTAAAGCGAGGCCACTGTGTGTGTGTGTGTGTGTGTGTGTGTGTGTGTGTTTCTGTGGCCGGAGGGTCGAGAGGCGGAGGTGGGACTAATCACACGGTCAGCGGTGAAAAGTACTGAAGTCTAGTTATCAAGACCATAAAGGACTAAAACTGAGGAGAAGGAGGTCATCGAATCCTGAATTGTCGGCAGAGATAACCGACTGAATCCGTTGATTCTGGTCCGTCTGAAACCTGGACTGTTTGGATGTTGACGGACTGTATGACAGGAGATGAGCAGGCTTCACCAGTCTACTGGACAAACTGGGTCTCTATGACGACCTCAGCTGCCCTCGCTGTCACGCCTCCGTCATTTCCTCCTAGTTGTCCTACGTGTATTTTGATGATGTAACTTTGATTTATATATACAAACCCACAAATTATAAAAGACATTTGGATATTTAAAATATACAAAGTTGTGTCTTTGGGCCAAACAAGCAACAGCTTTATTTCTAAATTAATGACTGAGACACACATTTGGTGCTTCGAGTGCTGGACGTGCCAAAAGATTTCTGTTGCTCTGAGGAAACTGCTGCTGTTTCTGTTTAGCTTGTCTAATTCAATACATCATGAGTGGAGATAAATCCAGCTCATGTCTGTTTCCTCTCCCTCTGGCTCTCCATCTATCTACTGAACCAGAGAGCAGCTAAACCAGTAGTCCTGCTGAATGAACCCCTCTCATCTCACATCGTGTGTGTGTGTGTGTTTGTGTGTGTTCAAATTGACATGTACTCCAGAGAGGCTTCCACTGAGTGACAACACACACACACACACACACACACACACAACACAATCCAATAAAGAACTGGTGCACACACTGAGCGCACTTAAAGCTCTACATAATCAATACCGACATGAAGTACAAGGTCACATTAAGCCCCCGACTGTCACCTGTCCCCAAGGTATATAATGAACGCAAGCACACACAGACACACACACTTATATCAGTCACTGTGATGGTTCATGGCTTAAACACACTACAACTTTTTGTCATTTAACTTTTCTGCTGTGAATAAAATAAATCTCAAAACGATCGGTGAACTGTGCTGCTTTCCATCAGTGATAAAAAGAACAAATTCATATATAAAATCCTGCCTGTGAACGGCAATGATTCCCCAATAACCAGTTAATTGTCATTATGAATCAATGTAATAACAATCGAGAAGACAAGGAAGCTGCAGTGTTACAGATGCATAAAAAATCTATATCAAAACTGGAGTAAAATGTGAACTCTGTTTAAAGAGAAGGAGAAATAAAGAGCAAAAAGCTTTATAGACGTGCTTAATGATTTATCAACTACGCCTCACTGTGTTTCTGACATGAAGCAAAGGTCTGAATCTGCGGCCGTCATTGGTCAGAAGTGACTGACTGCCTGAGATTGATTGGTCGTTCAAAGACCTTATTGGTTTTACTGGAAAGGGGGGAGCTAGAGGTAGAAGAGCTGGAAACATCACCACACAGAGGACGGGAAGGAAGAACTGAGGAAAATATAGATTGAAAATGGGCAGAATAAAAAAACCAAGCAAATAACTGCACATTACGGAGGTCCGAGGCCAGGATCAAATCAGCTTTATTATCAATATCATGTGAATGAAAGTCACATGTTGTGAGTTGTTGTTGCAGAAAAAATCAGAGTGAAGGTTCCTCTCACAAATGATCTTTGGCTGCAGGCAAGACGAGGAGCTGAAGGGGACAAACTAACGACACGTATAATACCAGCACAAAGTGCTTGGTGCAATCCCAGAATGCTTTGCAGAGCTTTAAGTGGAGAGTCCACCTTCTAATGATGCTGATGGTTAAAAGCAAACACACAAAAACACACACCTGAAAAATTGTCAGGGACATAGGTTCACATTCTGCACTGTAGCATGACTGAAATCTACACGTGGCTGTTAGAAAACCATATTTTGAGCCATTTACTTGATTGATGCATCATTAAGTATACAACACACACACAAACACCCACACAGACACACACACTGCAGTGGAGATAAATCAGAGAGAGAGAGAGAGAGACTGAGAGAGAGAGAGGGAGAGAGAGGGGGGGGGAGAGAGAGAGCAAGGGATCATAGAATAGAAAGAAAGCTGAGTAGCAACACGAGTTCACTGGAATTTAGACGAGAACATTTTTCACTAAAGAAACTGAGAGTTCACCCTCCGCCTCCCTCTCTGTTCTGAGCCTCTCCCGCCCTCCCTTCCACTCCTCTCAGCCTCGTCTCTACCCCTCCTTCTATCCCCCCACCAACCTGTTCACATCGAGGGATTACAGCAACAGAACCTGTTTAAAGGCTCCTGACAACTTTGAAACACTAAAAACACGTCAACACATTTTCTATTAAACCTTTTCTTCATTGCTCGTAAGAAATTTAGTAAAATATCTAAAAACAGCCAGACCCATGTTATTTATTTTGTTGACTTGTGACCAAAATTTGTCCAACGATGTTCAAACACAGAGAAATCCCCAATTTTATTCAAGGTGAGTGGACGTTTCATTTGTGTGTGTGTGTGTGTGTGTGTGTGAGAGAGAGATAAATTCTGGGACAGGTGTATCACTGCTTGCAGGTGTGTGTAACATGACACTGGAGGATTTTGTGTGTGTGTAATGTGATTCCCAGAGAGCTGCCCAGCCCTGAAGACACACACACACACAGACACACAGACACAGGCAAACTCCATCAGCATCACATTACACACAACTTCGAGCACACCTGTCCCAAAGGTACACTCATACACAGACCTCCCCACACACACGTGCACACACAGACAGACCCACACATACAGCTCCCCCACCTGGATGAGGTAGATATGTGATTTGAGATAAATACAATGATAGTCAGACATTATCGAGGGCTCGCAGGAGAGATTCTGAAAAGTAACTGATTCTGACATTTGCGTTCTCACACTCATAAGAATATTTCAGGAAACTCTGAAAGCTGCTTTAGAGATTTTCCCACATTGTTAACACAGATAGCACAGGTCGTCATCACACACTCAAATAACAACTCCTGCAAAACCTTTTTGAGCATCAACAACAAGAAGTTGCTTTAAAGAATGAGACTTGATCCAAAAGGGACCTGAAGACAGTTTGACCAGATTAAAACAGACCAGAGGACAATAGCTGCAGTCAATGACAAAGACAGAGTATACGCAGCAGCATGATGCTCCCTCTATTAAGAAAGGAGCAGAATTACACATCAATCCACTTGGAGCTCTGCCTCAACACACACATTGTTCTTCTGTGATGATAATAATCAACCATGTGATCACGGCTCACAGCGTCCACTGGGATATACAAGTATCATTCATATTGACAGGAGGCTGGAGAACCAGCGTGTGGAGAGAGACGGGTCATATTAACAAGACCTCACCTACTTTATAAACGAGACACAGCAAATACTTCTGCCAAGGCCCAACAGTCCAAACTGCACAAATCAAACTGAATCAAAATTCATTATTTGAGAGAAAATTGTGAAAATGTTGAAAAACACCCAGCAGTGTTTAAGACATCAAAATAAATCCTGGATCTGCATCTTCAGTTAATGGAGATGAAAACAATACATTAACTAAAACTACGTTAACCATAACTTGTGATCCGACCCCGACCTTTGTAGACCAACACATGTACATTACAAATACTCAGATAATGTGGGAATATTCCCAATACACACACACAGACACACAAAGGCATCCAGCTAATACACATGCATGCACAATGATGCAGTACATAAAAAATACATGGCAAACTCTCCGAGTAACTGTTCTCATGTGCACGGTAAATTCACCCCCCCCACCCCCACTCTCTCTCTCACACACCCACACGCACACACAGACAAGAGAGACACAGGTGTGCAGGGGGGAGGGTCTGCCTCCATCCTTGATGTACCAGCTGCTAGACTCCACCCCTCCCCATCTCCGTCACTATGGAAACCCCATAAATAATGGAGGCTGCAGTGCATGCAGGGAGCCATGAGGCCAGAAAGGCTGAATCCCATTATAGAGCTGACTTACAAATTGTGAAACTCTTGCGGTTTCCATCAATGAACCAAGACACTGTCCACCGCTGCACGTTTCCTGTGAAATGTCTTTACTGTGACAAACGATCTCATGAAAACCACGGCTGCATGTTTAACCTGCACACGAGCCAACGATGGGGGAAAATGAACCCTGAAAGCCACTGCTGCAGGGAATGACGGAGAGAGTGCTCGTGTTAAATAAATCAGTCAGTAGCTTGGATGGAACAACACAGTCAGGAGTCAGTAAGTAGTTTCTTTTTTCAACGTCTTATCAAAGCTGCTTCGAGGCCTCAAAGATGTAGAAGCTGCTGCAATAAAACATAATGGATGGGACGGAATACAAAGAAGCCAATAACCTTTATTTGTCAAAATGAACTGATGTGTAGCAAACCTCAGTTTTGGCAGAAAAAATATTCAACTATGAAATACCTCCGCAGGCTAATTTATGCTCATTGTTAAGGTACAAATACAGAAATGCTTCATCACTCCACGTTCATTTCCTCACAGCAAGGCAAAGTATCGCCTGATGAGGCTCCAAATTACAAGTGGGGTGCATCTGTCATTTGTGTTACACCAGGGAGGCTTACCTGTTAATGTCGTCTCTGGGTCGGTCCTCTCACTGAAAGGCTGGTGGACAGATTGAACCTGCAGCCTGGAGACAGAGACAGACAGTTAGCACACACAGCTCTAGGTCCGCTTCAGCTGATGCAGTCAAATTATTTCATTCTCTACACCTGCTCATAAAAGCACACACTCTTTTATATCGGTCATCAGGATACCGATCAGCTCTTAATTATTCCTATAGATGCCACCTATAGGTGCTGTGAAATATAAAACAGATTTGATTTATTGGGAAATGTGAACATCGTGAGCTGTTAGCTTTTTATGGCCCTTCATCTAAACCAGATTTTTTATAGTTCTGCATTAACAGTGCGGAGAGAGAAACATGACTGTGACGCCGATTAAATGTCACTTTGAGACGATTACAGAAAAAAAGATATGTTTCACACAACTGATGAGATCAGAGTGAAGGCAGAAGCATGTGTGTCGGGCTATAAACAGATTCTGCATGTGGATATAAAGAATCTGTAGCAGGGGACAAGAGTTTCTTCTGGTTTCCATTTCTAGTTTGACCAATCAGCCAAAACATCTTGTTGATTTATATGGCGCGAGTGCATGATATATATATTTATATGTAAGTATGTAAGTGGTGGTTGAGACACAAAAAAGGCCAATACCAACAAGTTGTTTCTCTAAAATCTGTTGGTCTCTCTTTCTATTTTAGATGGGGGGCCCACGTGCCGTCGCACAAACAAATGTCTTGGTGGAGACAGAGACAGAGGTAGAAACCGTTTGTATGTTCACAGCATGTTGGTGTCAAAGGCGGCACAGACAAGGTTGAACAGATGAAGGCTTCAGCGAGAGGGAGGGAGGGCAGGAGGTGAGTGTAAGCCCAGCAGCTGTCCACACATTCACACCCTACTGTGAGAACACACACACACACACACA